AGAGAACTTCAGATTGGGGAACACTATTGGTGTTCTAGGGGGTATTGTGATTCAATATTAACATATTTAATTTATTTAGGGTTTATGCTTTTGCTCTATTTTGCAGTGATTTGGGGCTGTGTAGCTGAGAAAAATTTCCACTGTTGTCCAAAAATGTATTTTGAAGAGCGATTTATTTCATTTGGATCCTTTCCCTACTAAAGCAACGGCATGCTCTTCCACGTATTGACTGAAAGGCCTGGAACAAGTCCTTTATTTCCTTTCAGTGTCAGTTTTATCATCTGTAAAGAGTGGATGAAGGAAGCCCTAACAGTGATACGTTAAGGAACTGACGTGTGCTGGCTCCCAGCATCTGGCTGTTGGGCATTCCTTCCTTCTTGCAAGGCAGTTCTTATAGACAGCAAAGTCTTGGCTTTAAATTCTAGTCTGTGGTCTTTTTTCTACCCCGTGTTCCAGGCTTATAATTATACTGTCTAAATATTTTAGTTCTATACTTAGACTTGCCACTCTCAATTATGTGGGATAAAATATATTTATTTTTTAACTCTGGTAAATCTCCAGCCCCATTATTTTCCTTTGAAATGTCTTTTATATTTTTCATTTTTCTGACCTTCCTAACATCGCAAGTCCAGTTTGGGTCCTAATCACCTCACACGAGAATTACTGAGCAACACCTAGCAGGCATCTCTGACAGGGAATTTCCCCCTTCCGTTTGATGTGCATTGTATTGCTAGGATTATTTTCCTTGAAAATCACATGATTCTGCTCATCAACAAAAAAAAATTTCAGCAGGTTGATAAATATTTAAATTACAGCATATCCTAATTTCCTTCCTACCTTTGATGGCTCTTAAAACAAGAACATTTCCCCCCATCCCCCTGTTTGCATATTCTCTTCACTCCAGCAGGGAGGACTTTTTTGTGGTTGTTTGTTCTGCCTCTCTGCCTGTGTGTACACTCTTCCCCTCATCCAGCATGCTTCTCCTTTTTCTCCACCTGTCCTTTAGGGCTCGTTCAGGTTTTTCTTTCCTTTGAAGCTTCCAATCCAAATTGTATGAAAATTTGCCAATAATTATGTCTCCAGTACTCCTTTACCAGTGATTTTTATACATACAACTAACTTACCCCTGACCTTTTTTGTATTGCGGTAAAATATACGTAGCATAAAACTTACAATTTACCTTCTATTTTTTTTGAGGAAGATTAGTCCTGAGCTAACATTCACTGTCAATCCTCCATGTTGGTTTTTTTTTTTTTGGCTGAGGAAGATTGGCTGTGTGCTAACATCCATGCCCATCTTCCTCTATTTTATATGTAGGACGCCTGCCACAGTGTAGCTTGATAAGCAGTGGTAGGTTTGCACCCAGGATCCAAACCGACAAACCATGGGCCACCAAAGTGGAACATGTGAACTTAACTGCTGTGCCACTGGGCTGACCCCATAATTTACCATTTTTGAGTGTACAATTCAGTGGCATTAAGTGCATTCCCATTGTTTTGGAACCATCAGCACCATCCATCTCCAGAAAGTTTTCATCATCCCAAACTGAAACTCTGTTTCTATTAAACAATAACGTCCTATTCGTCCATCCCTCAGCACCTGGTGGCTACCATTCTACTTTCTTTCTCTGTGAATTTGACTCTTCTGGGTACCTCACGTAAGTGGAATCGCACGTGTTTGTACTTTTGTGTCTGGCTTATTTCTCTTAGCATGAAGTTCTCAAGGTTCATCCATGTTGTGGTACGTATCAGAATTTCGTTCCTTTTTAAGGCTAATATTCCACTGTATGTATAGACCACATTTTGTTTGTCCATTCCTCTGTTGATAGACAACTGAGTCATTTTCACATTTTGGCAATTGTGAGTAATGCCGCTATGAACATTGGTGTTCAAATATCTGTTCAAGTCCCTGCTTTCAATTCTTTTATGTATGTCCTCAGAAGTGGAATTGTGGATCCTTCTATGCTTAGTTTATTGAGGAATTGTCATTCTGTCTTCCACAGTGGTTGCACCATTTTACATTTCCACCAGCAATATACAAGTGTTCCAGTTTCTTTGTATCCTTGTCAGCACTTGTTATTTTCTGCTTTTTTTGGGTAATAGCCATCCTAATGAGTTCGGAGTGGTATCTCATTGTGGTTTTGATTTGCATTTCCCTAATGATAGTGGTATTGAGTATCTTTTACTGTGCTAATTTGCCATTTTTATATCTTCTTTGGAGAAATGTCTGTTCAAGTACTTTGCCTGTTTTTGAATTGGATTGTTCATTTTCTCATTGGCGAGGACCTTTTAAACAGCAAGTACTCAAAACTGTTCAACAGGTTTTTGAAGACTTAAGTCATCGCAGGGAACACGATCCAGTGCACTGTGTGAATGATGCCCTGGGAACCATTGAGGAGGTTAGGGCTTTTCACTCGTCTCAGATGCCTTCCTTATTGAGTTGTTGGGCATGTTATTTATATGTTTTCTATCAATGCCTTTGTTTATATCAGCTCTTCTCTTTGGTGTCATCATGCCTGTCTGTAGGCAGTTTTCTTTCTTTGATGTCTTAATCTGATTTTTTTCTTGGAAACCAGATGATCTAATTTGTTAGAGCTATGCATAAATTTAGACTAATTAAGCTCTTGTGAGGCATAAGGGACTCACCTATGGGTAAAGAGAAGAAGCTTTATTGTATGTAGTTCAGATGTCAAACATATTACTTACTTTTGTTTCTTACTGATGGAACTAGGTAAGCTTTCTTGATGGTCTTTTTCTGTAGAAGTGATGTTTTTCAGTGTAAACCTCTCAAGTGTAGCTGCTGTATTTGATTGTTTACTTACTCTGTATTTATTACTAAATTTATCATGTTGAATATTCAGTGGGTATTTAATGAATATATTTTAGTTGCTTTGTGGTGGATTCATTGAAGCTGTATCATGAGGCAGTTTCCCTGGTGATTTTAACCGACTTTTTCATTAATTAATTGATTCTAAAATTATGGTTGTTAGTAAGGAGAGGCCTTAAGATTTATGTTGATGCTTTTAAAAAATATGAATTTATCAGTAGGTTTCGTTGTGTTTCAAGTAACACCCAAACTTAGTGGTTTAAAAAGACATCATCAACTCATTCAGTTACAAGTCTGTGGGTTGACAATTTGGGCTAGGCTCAGCTAGGCAGTTCTGATGGTCTCACCTGAGTTCAATCCTGTGGTTGCAGTCAACTGGCAGTTAGGCTGGGATCTGGTTAGTTTCAGATGGATTTACTTACAAGTGTGGCAGTTGGATTCAGTGATCAAAGTTACTGGGTCACATATCTCTACCCTCTAGCAAGCTAACCCAGACTTCTTCATGGGCTTCCAAAAGCAACAGGAAAGGGCACGCTCCAGTGTGTAAGCTTTCTGCATGCCTGTTTGTCTCATGTTTGCTAAGGTCCTTTGGCCAAAGAAGTCACTCAGCTAAGTCCAGATTCAGGAGAAAGACAAATAGATTCTATCTCTACATGGAAGGAGCTGCAAACTAAAATGATGATTTTTTTTTTTGTTTTCAATCTACTGCAACATCAGTATCAACTCATAGCCTTGATTTTGTTGATGTAGTCTAAGTCCCACATGAAAACAATTTTTCCAAAGTATAACATTAGCATTTTCTCTGAAATGGCCTGGGTCTTGGATATCTTCTTTATTTGGAATTATAGTTTAAAATATTTTTCAGCAGGTTTTTAAAAAATCAATTGTTTGCTTTTTTTTTGTTAAGATTATGATAGTTCACAACCGTGTGAGATTTCAGTTGTACATTATTGTTAGTCATGTTGTGGGTACACCACTTCACCCTTTGTTCCCTCCCCCCAGCCCCCCTTTCCCCTGGTAACCACCGATCCGTTCTCCTTGTCTATATGTTAACTTCCACCTATGAGTGGAGTCATATAGAGTTTGTCTTTCTGTGTCTGGCTTATTTCGCTTAACATAGTACTCTCAAGGTCCATCCATGTTGTTGCGAATGGGACGATTTTGTCCTTTTTTATGGCTGAGTAATATTCCATTGTGTATATATACCATATCTTCTTTATCCAGTCATCAGTTGCTGGGTACTTAGGTTGGTTCCATGCCTTGGCTATTGTAAATAATGCTGCGATGAACATAGGGGCTCTTGGAATTGCTGATTTCAGGTTCTTAGGATAGATACCCAGTAGTGGGATGGCTGGGTCATAAGGTATTTCTATTTTTAACTTTTTGAGAAATCTCCATACTGTTTTCCATAGTGGCTGCACCAGTTTTCATTCCCATCAACAGTGTATGAGGGTTCCTTTTTCTCCACAACCTCTCCAACATTTGTCACTCTTGGTTTTGGATATTTTTGCCAATCTAACGGGTGTAAGGTGATATCTTAGTGTAGTTTTGATTTGTATTTCCCTGACGATTAATGATAATTAGCATCTTTTCATGTGTCTATTGGCAATCCTTATATCTTCTTTGGAGAAATGTCTATTCATGTCCCCTGCCCATTTTTTGATCGGGTTGTTTGATCTTTTGTTGTTGAGCTGTGTGAGTTCTTTATATATTATGGAGATTAACCCTTTGTCAGATAAGTAGCTTGTAAATATTTTTTCCCAATTAGTGGGCTGTTTTTTTGTTTCAATCCTGTTTTCCTTTGACTTGAAGAAGCTCTTTAGTCTGATGAAGTCCCATTTGTTTATTCTTTCTATTGTTTCCCTCATCTGAGGAGTTATGGTGTCCAAAAAGATTCTTTTGAAACTGATGTGTGGTACTGGTACCAAAACAGGTGCACAGATCAGTGGAACAGAATTGAAAGCCCAGAAATAAAACCACACATCTATGGACAGCTAATCTTCGACAAAGGAGCTGAGGGCCTACAATGGAGAAAAGAATGTCTCTTTAACAAATGGTGCTGGGAAAACTGGACAGCCACATGTAAAAGATTGAAAATTGACCATTCTTTTTCACCATTCACAAAAATAAACTCAAAGTGGATCAAAGACCTAAAGATTAGGCCTGAAACAATAAGTCTTCTAGAAGAGAATATAGGCAATTGTTTGCTTTTTTATCAGTTTCCGAGGTAAGAAAATTACTAAAATACCAAAATTGCTAGGTATTAATCATATAAGAAAAATGAATGCCCCAAATTTTTAACACCAAATCACTTGCCAAAGTAGCTTTGTCCTTTTAAATTTTAACTTCTATAGAACATCAAAGAGAGAAGAAAGGGAATAAAAAAAGCAAATGTAGAGGAAAGTTATAGTCATAAATCTATTGAAGTTACCTAAGTTATTTGGAAGCTAATTATGACTGTGTGCAAAGCAAATGATGTGAGAACTGAATTAATGAAGACCAGCTACCTCCCACAAGCTAATGAGGCATACTTTATACCAATAGTGCCACAAATTGAAAAATTAAACCTCTTCATGGAGAGAAAAAAGGAGCAGCCTAAGAATAACATGCAAGGCCAAAGGAGATCTCAAAGGCATTGTCTGGGGTGAGCAGTTTTTGCTTACTTTTCTATGATATGGAATATAGAGTGCAGAATCCCTGAAATTTCCTCGTTTTTTGTTTTTTTCTCCCCCAACCCAAAGAAGAATTCATAGACACCATAGTGTGCTTCAGCCCCGCAAAGTCAGTGGAGGATAAAAGTGCTAGTGGTCAAATGTATTTTGATTTTTTAGGTGTTGGTGCTTAACTTCAGTGCAATAGTAGCCTTCCTTTTTCCTCTTCTTGACATGACCACATAGGTAATTTTCAACCAGCTTCTTTTTCACACCTTCTTTCCACTATTTAACATTGTTATATATATAAACTTTATATATATGAGTTTATTATATATATAGTCCAATGAAATGTATATGATATATATAAGTATATACTATATCTATAATGTGTATATTCCTTTTGGAATTTTAACTTCCACGTTTTTCTCTTATTTACCCTTACACATTCATAAATCAAGATCCCCAGTCTTGCAGTCTTACACTTACTACACTCAATATATCTCCCTTCCACTGTACATCTCAAATCACGTTTTTAATTTTTTTAGGAAGACACTATATTACACAAAATAAATACTATTTTTTCTTCATTATAAATACTTTTATTAAGGATGTACAAAGGCATGCACTATTTTGAAAATACTTTAATTTTAAACCTTTAAAAAAGATTTCATGTACAAATATAATTCAACTAGTAACACACACACACATACATATATACACATATATATGCATTTCTTAAGTGCCGACAATTTTGAATTTAGAGATGTGAGAATAAAGCCAATTGGCCAAGTCCTAGGAAACTTTGGGAACATTGGTAAAAATGTTGTGGCAGTAATTTATTTGCTTAGGTTTTACCCTTTTGATAGCAAACAAAATCATTTTATTGGTGTTTGAAAGCAGCAAAGCTTGTTGTATGAGTACTGAGTAAACAAGAAGAACTTATGTGAAAAGTTAGTTATTAACTATTTAAAAATCTCATCCTTTTTCAGAAAAGTAGAATTTAAAAATATTTTTTTCCTTCACCTAGTGGAGGAAAATGTTTTAATCATTTAGATTTATAATCTAATCATTTAGATTAATTTCCTTCCATGCATCTAAAAAAGTAGTAACAACTTTTAAATTTTCTGATGATAAAAGTAAGACATATTAATTTAGAAAATTATAAGCAGCAAACATCATGTATAATATCATCACATAGAAATTATCAGTTAACATTTTGGCATATTTCCTTCTAATCTTCCTATGTGTCTATATAATATTTAAATAAAATTTTATGTTGTATATAACATATTCTCTGTATAGATAGATTTATATGTTGTGCTTTTGCACTTAATGTTATCATGAGTAGTTTTTAATGACATGAAATATGCTTCAGATATACATTAAGTATACTCCAAAACCGTTATATTAATGCTGTATGATATTCCATCCTATGGGTTTATTACAACTTATTTAAATTGCCACTCTTCTGTCTGTATTTCAAATGAGTAGATATAATTAATTAATGGCTAAATATTAAATATACTAGTGTTAGAAAATAAAAGAGTCTGATATTTTCTTTCTCCTCCCTTCCTTACTCCCTTTTTCTCTCCCTTTCTCTCTCTCTCTCTTTCTTCTCTCTCCTTTTTCTTCTACAATGACAAATTCAGCCCTGATAGGAATACTCTGGCCACTTCACCATTTGTCGGTTTTTTCATGCCTTCTAAGTATCTATTATCTCTCTTTTACTATTTAATCCTGTACAGGCTATTCTGCTACAACCTGATAGTTATGTTTTTAGGAAAACTTGTGAAATCAAAGATTACATAACTAAATTAATAGGGCAGGTGTGTAGAGGGTTGCAGTTGTGAACAGCAGTTTCAGATTTCCAACAATATATTTCCATAACAAAGGGGTCACTATAACTGTGCACGTATACAACCTAAATACCACTCAGTCAATCCAATGTTTGCTTCCATCCATCCCTTGCTATCATTCACACGGCACTTGCGAAACATTCTATCTCCTTATCTCGTGTAGTTAAGAGAAACGAAGCACCAAGCCACTCAGAGGGGTTAGGCTTTTCATGTTTGATGCCACTTCTGAATCTTGATCATCCATAACAGCTGGCAGCATATAAATTGTTTACCCTAATTAATGGTTCACCAGTATCTCTGCAGTGAGTTATGAAAACTCCTGCTGTGACTGAGGAGAAATTTGAATACAGTGAATTTGAAATATTCACTATTTGAATTCAAATTTGAATTCAAATTTGAAATTTGAATATACTTTCAAATTGTCTGCATACTGCTGGTTACTCTAAATATAGTTTATCTTCAGAGAGTGTTGAGACTCCTCTCTGAAAGCTGAACTATTCATGATTTCATTAAACAGCAAGAAAAGAAGATGTGGACTGCTTCTCGAGGGTGAGCTCTCTCCCATCTACCACAGTACCTGACATGGTAGGTGGGCAATAAGCAATGGTTACATGTGGCATCTATGGTTGTTGCCTTCTAGCGTTTGTGCATAGATAGCTGGTGTGATGTGACTAATTTATCAGGGACTTTATATGTGCCAGAAACTATTCTAAGCCATTGATTTGTATTAACAACACTGTCAGATAGGTACTAAAATTATCCCCACTTATAGACAAGAAAACCAAGATATAAATAAGTTAAATTATTAAACCAGGACATGTGGCTTGTAAATGATGCCATCTGGTTCCAGAGGCAGCATTTTCTTTTTTTTTTTTTGGTGAGGAATATTGGCCCTGAGCTAAGTTCTGTTGCCATTCTTTCTCTTTTTTCTTGAGGAAGATTGCCACTGAGCTAACATCTATGCCCATATTCCTCTATTTTGTATATGGAATACCACCAGAATGTGGCTTGATGAGTGGTGTGTAGGTCCGAACCCATTAACCCTGGGCTGCTGAAGCGGAGCATGCAAACTTACCTGCTTACACTACTGCCAGAGCCTGCATTTTTAACTACTATGCACATTCTCTATATAAAACAGTCTGACTCATTTGGGAGAGATGGATTTAATACATACAAAAGAGAAACATTAATATATTGGGCCTAATTCAACCAAGGAAATAAAATACTTTCTGGAGTAATTGAACATTAGTCTTAAAATGAGGACCTACCAGCTTAGATCTTATCTCATCCACTTAATAGTTGTGTGAACTTGTTCAAGACACTTCGAATAAACATTTCAACTAATGCCGTAAGAATTGTGTATAGTTAATTGCGTGATAATCCATAGAGAAATATTAAGATTTTATTGCCATCTGTAAAATAGAGCACTGTGCTATAAATTGGGAGCCGAGTCTAATTCTTATCTAGCAAGAGTTCGTTATGATTAGATATATCACTTAAATTTCTATCTTATTTCCTCATTTATGAAATAAGAACAATTTTTTAAAACCTTATCTTCTAAAATTTTCACAGGAATGTTGGAAAGAAAAACGAGGGAGTAAATGAAAGTGCTTTGAAAAGGAGTGCTCTGGATCCAGACTGGTGACATTGCTGCAAACTCAGAAATGTCAGGTTAGTTCTCTGCGATATTTAGGTCCTTTTTAAGGTCTCGTGTTCTAATAGTTGTTGGTGTTGAGAAAAGTTTGTGGTTATTGAAATCATACAATTTTTGTTTCATATGGGAGACTATATGATTTGTCTTATATGTTTCCTTCCTTTATGATTTCACATTAAATTTTCTAAATCTTCCAAGTATGAGGGAGACAATCATAATAACGTTCTAATATATTTTATATAATAATTAGAATGTATATGTATATACACATGTATATAGCTATACACATACACACATACATATATTTTTCACCTTTAGAATCATAGTAATTATTAGATTTGGAGGCATTTCTGGAAGTTGATTTCATTCAAATCCCACATTTCTTGACTTATAGTAATGTAACTTGTTATCATTTAGCTACTGCTCCTGGGTTGGGAGTAGAACCAAGTCCGCTGAGACAGAATCCAGAGCGTTTTCCACTGCCCACGGTAGCAGTTACCTCTTCTACCAATGTTCTGAGATACTATTTTCTTTCTTTGATCTTATCCTTTCTTTTTACTTTTTCCCATTTCATTTGCTCCTTTTTTCATTTTCAGATTTCCCCTCTCTCCTATTCTCATAGTAGCTTCCGGGTCAGAAATTTTAAAAATATCAAAATTGATAAAAAAACTGAAATAATTTCCATCCCATTCATATTTTAGGCAAAAGACACTTTTAATTTTTCTGTTTTTGCTTGAGTATGTCGCTGCCATGGAGATGTATTCAGGAACATCTCTGACCTTGAGCCAAGCAAGGTCATCCCTGCCTTCCCCGTGATAGACCTTGCAAGTGCTCTAGCTCAGGTTTGTATTGAGTTTGTATAGTCAGGAGAATCCACATGCCAGCTCCCAAGTAGGTGGACTGCCTGTGGACATAGATTTCCCTGGAGATATGGTCTTCACAAAGTCTGTATGCCTCCCCATGACCGTGAACAATGCGTCGCTTCCTGGAGTCCTATATCCAACTGTCGCTGGAGAGGTTGCTTCATTGCTTAACCCCACATGGCTCTCGGCTTTCTTGAAGCCAACTGGATGACCAGATTTATATCCTCTAACATATAGACCACTGATAGAGATGGTTTAGATCACTGTGTTTCTATAAGTATTATATATTTCTCTTAGGTTTTAAAGGGACTTCATATAGGAGTTATATGAAGACAGAGGGTACATCTTGTTCGAATTATTTTCCTTACATTCTTTAAAAAATAATTAGCATAGTGGCTTATTATATAAGTAATAGTTGATTTTAATTAATAGTTTATTTCTTATAATTTCACTTGAAAATATAATCATGATGGGCTGGGATGGGTGGAGGGTATGATTAAGGAATGGGATGGGCAAATACAGACTCGTTTGCCAAATTGCATGTTAGTACTATAGGCAATCCTTGAAACTCTAATGAGGAAAGTGTAAGACCAATAAAAGGGAATAAAAATGTACCCAGTGAGTGACTTGTTTGAGCTCATGCCTCTGGTAAGCATTTTTAGGGCAGCCAGGCCAGGCCTTCCTGAATCACCTACCATTTGGCTCCATTGTCAGTGATCAAATGTTAAATACGGTGCACCAAGGTCCTTACCTGGTAGATGATTCCTCTGTTACTTTGTATTTAGGTTCAGAAACAGACCTGGCTTCATGATGGACACTGATAGAAAATCTACTTTTGAACAGATCTTCTTGAGAAGAAAACTTGGCTTGTGGCTTAGGTACACTTTTGAAAGGGATGTGACATTAGCACTGCTGATGATTTTCTTATGAAAATTTAATGGAACTTATGATATAAAACAAAATATTGGATGAACTTACAACAAGTTGTCTTTAATGACAGTTCAAGATACCAGTAGCTCATTCCAGGGACCATTTACCTAAGGCTTTTAAATTAAATTTTCTAAGTGCCTTGCATGTTCGACTCTGCTTTTGAAGAAAGAGGCATTCCACTTCAGGGAAATGCAACCACTTACGGCCGTAAAATAATAGATTCAGATTGGCCTTTCAATAAGGGGTGAGTGTGCCAAAAATCTGAAAGGTGTTACTGTAAATAAAAATCTTTATTAAGAGCTAAAGAGTGCAAATTGATTTTAAAAGTTTTCATCCTTACTGGCACATGAAAAAATGCAATAAAGATAATCGATATTGAAAAGCTCCCTAGGAAGGGGGATGTCCCGAAGCAGTACAGAAGTCTAGTCCTGCGCTGTCTGCCTTTCCTGAGGATGGCCTGGTGCATAGAAGTGATGGGTTATCTCAGTAGGAAGACTCTGAATGAGACCCAGGCATGGAGGCCGAGGGTCAGCATTTCACCATGAGGTTCATTTGTTCCTTGGTCAGAAACATTGTCCTTAACTCCGGCAAGGACTCTATTCACAAAAAATTTGCACCCTAGTCAATCAGTGAATGTTTGTGGCCCACAGGGTGTTTCGGCAAATAGGGTAAGATCCAAGGAGAATCGCATACGTTAGTAATAGATGAAACTAGCATTCCTTTTCCAATAGTTTCCTGTCTCTTTTTCTTCCCTTTTAATCGACCCCTTTTCTCATGTACCCATACACATCAGTACTCTCATCTTCCCTGTTCTCTCCTATAATGGAATTGATGGAAGACTAGAGGAAACCTAAGGAATTAATGACTCAAGGTGACATCCATGCCTCCCCATCCATCCCAGGAATACTGGCCTTTTAAAAGAGAACAGGTAGGGCCGGCCCGGTGGCGCAGCGGTTAAGTTCGCACGTTCCGCTTCTCGGCGGCCCGGGGTTCGCCAGTTTGGATCCTGGGTGCGGACATGGCACTGCTTGGCAAGCCATGCTGTGGTAGGCGTCCCACACATAAACTAGAGGAAGATGGGCATGGATGTTAGCTCAGGGCCAGTCTTCCTCAGCGAAAAGAGGAGGATTGGCAGCAGTTAGCTCAGGGCTAATCTTCCTCCACAAAAAAAGAGAACAGGCAAGGCCTTCCTTAAAAAAGTCAAGCAATAACTAATAGTATTATACCCATTTTGCATATTGGGGAATTGAGGGTGAAGGAGAATAAGCCACTTATTCAAGATGACACAGTTAGGAAGTTGCAGAATCAGAATTTGCACCAGATCCAGTTAGCTCCCAGGCTCTTAAGTACTGAGCTCTGTCATCTCCCAATCCCTGGCAGATAGGTTGCAGGAAATCCCTTGTGTAGGAAGATGAGGAGGCGTTCCTGGTCTCCCAAACCCACGTTCTGTACTCACCTCCTCTGCCTGCACGCGAGGGCCATCCACCTGGTCCCGGCCTCCTTCAGGAGCTGAATTTAATAACTTGAGGATCCATCTTTATCTGTTTTTTCTCTGGACCCCATGTCCAGATGAGTCTGAGGCTTTAGTTATCTTTGACAAGTCACAGTAACCTTTAGTGAAGCTTTCTTCCACTGTAGGTGGAAAGAAAAAGTTCTCCATTGAAGGAATAACATTCAAAATGACTTAAGACGTTATCTGCTTCTCTTGTATTTACTCACTTATGAGTAAATATAAGTAACATATTAGTCAGGATTCTCCAGAGAAACAGAATCAGTAGGACTTACATATACTTCTCTACATTTACACATACAATCTCTTTATATACATATACAAGTCCCAAGATCTGCAGGGTGAGTTGGCAAGCCGGAAATCCAGGAGAGCTGATGGTTTAGTTGCAGCCTGAATCTGAAGGCCTGTGAACCAGGAGAGGCAATGATGCACATTCCAGCCCAAAGGCTGGCAGGCCTGGGACCCAGGAAGAACTGATGTCTCAGTTTGAATCCAAAGACAGGAAAAGACTGATGTCCAAGCTTAAGGCGGCCAGGCAGAAGGAATTCCGTTTTACTCATGGTAGGCTCAGACTTTTTGTTCTCTTCAGTGCTTCAACTGATTGAATGAGGCCCACCCACATCAGGGAGCACAATCTGCGTTACTCAGTCTACCAATTTGAATGTTAATCTCATCCAAAACACCTCACAGAAACAGCCAGAATAATGTTAGACCAAATGTCTGGGCACCTTGTGGCCCAGTCAAGTTGATATATAAAATTAACCATCACAAGTCTTATTTCTAACTTTAAGTGACGTTTCCTCGTTTCTGTGCTCAGCCGTTTCTCATGGCTGTACATAGATGAACATTCGCCCTAGTTACCCAGCATAGGAGGTTTGGTAATGCTTGTTGTCCTGTTAATAGTATTGTCCTATCAATGGTGTCTCCTTTTTCTTGCAAAGCCTGGATGATACGGACATCTTACTTATACAGGAGTTCACCAGGCTTAAGCTATTTTTTATAATATCTAGCTTAAAATAATTTTCTCATTTTCCTCTCCAGGTGAATCTACCAATATATCTTGTCACACTTGCAGTTTTGTCTCCACGCGTCTCTGAGTTTGTTGCTCCTGCTCCCTCTTCTGTTTGTGATTGTGGATTTTCTTTCCTTCTCCTTTCTTGTCCTGCATGTACCTATGCTATAATCCAAGGGATTGGTATCCTCCATGTGTGTTAATACTATTCATAACGTGTCACATTCAGTCTATACTAGAAAAGTTTGAGAAGGTGAGATTAGCAGGCACACGACTCTTAACCGGATTTTTTAAACGCGTAATGCTAATTTTATAGCTTTAGTTACTACAGAAAAGCACTCACACTTGTCTTTTGTGGTGATAGCTAAGCTGATTAGTGCACAGAGCTAATGAAACCACCGGCAGTGTCTCCCTTCTTCAGGCTGTCCATTGCCCTGGCTTATCTCTAGCCAAGGCCTGCATCTGTGGTCCTCCTTTTCATCCACCAATGAGGATGCTATTGTCGGTCACAGGGGGCTTGGGTGAGAAAGAGGATCAGTTTTTTTCTGCTACTAGCCAAACAACTCATGGTGTGCCTTCGGGGAGGCAAGCGGGCTCAGCAGGACAACTCCTTCTGCTAAGGTCAGCAAGTTATGAAATATTCTCCATAGGGAGGTGATTGGATTAAATAGTTAGTGAATGTAAAGTGCTTTAAGTTGCTGATTATTATGCTTTGTGGGTCTTCTTTGCAGAGGATCTGCAGTCAGGGCAACTCTTACGAGGCACGGGGCTCAGGATAATGTTCTCACTCATCTCTGCGCCTCACGAGTGTTTATATCATGGGTGGGTTTCGGAATTTTACAAATGTAATCTACCATTGTGACTTCTCAAACTTTGGTACCTTGGAAAAACAGGGCAAGATAGCTCAGGAAACCTTTTCAGGGGAAAAGGAAGATTAGAAACACTGGATTAGCAAACAGCTCACACTATTAATCACGTATTGCCATACCAACGTAAGAACTATGAGCTTGTGCTGTATAGGGAAAACCCGCAGAAATAGGGCTCAGCTACTGATAGGTCTGTTATGGGCTACTTGTTCCAAAAATTCAATTTGATCTCCTGTTGTAGCATGGAGACTTGAAAGGTGGAAAAGCAATTACCTGTGCTTGGAAGATCAGGCTCTTCCCCATTAAGGAATTATAGCCAGCTCTAGAGATGATTTAAGAAGCTGTCTGACATAGACAGTATGTAAAACTGAATAGCCCATAGTCAATCACGTCGGTATGGTTTTCAATAGATTTTAAATAATGTATCTTTGTTAATGAGCTGGCTGTGTTTAGTAGCCCCACCTCTACTCTGCAAGCCACAAGGGAACATCATAAAATTTAAATATATAGCACTCACTCCAAAGTTGGTATGGAATTAATTAAACGCACTTGAAGCTATTCCTTTTAAGTAAAGATCTTTTGAGTGTTACAGGAGAGAGGAGTGTGAAATTAAAGCTGAGCATGAAAGAGAGCATAGAAACCCCATATGTTGTTACTGCCTTACATATATGGGGCTAGGATGAAGCGAATCATTAGAAATCAAGTATATTAAGATAACGGAGAATGAAATAGTTCAAAATATTTGTTTAAGGTAGCTAACTAATCACTAGAAGGGAAGAGAATTTCTGGAACAGCCTTCATCTACAGTCCCTTTGCCCTTCATTACTCTACCTCCGTCCCAAGTATGGTTTGAAAAGGAAAAATATGATGACTAAGCCAGGGATGGGAAAGCCAGGGAGAAATGGCTTTGTATGGCTGTGCTGGCCCAGGCCCGAGGAGGGCCCTGGTTCTGAGTGCAGCACTTGAACTGGAGACTTCTGTAGAGAAAGAGAGAGAAAAAGCAAGCCTACTTAACTTTCTGTACCTTAGCTGGAGAAAAGAGAGCAACAGGGCAATCTCCTTAGGCCGTTAGAGAAGGCAGGAGGGCGGGAACGGAGCTGGAAGTAACATCTAGGGGTGGCTCTGAGAGGCAGCATCTGCCGTGGTCGAAAGCATGCAGTCTGAATCCCGACTACCTCAGGTCATGAACCTGGCTCCCTCAGGTACCAGCTGTATGTCCTTAGGTAGATTATTTAATCTCCCTGGGCCTCAGTTTTTTGGTCTGTAAAATGGGGATAATATTAGATTGCTATGAAAATTAAAGTGCTTAGAGCAATACATGGGACATTATAAGCACTATATAAATGTTTATTATGCAAAGTAATATTAAAATCACTCTTAATAAAATGAAATCACTGTTATTAAATAAAAATGTAAAAATAACTGTTATTAAAGATCATAAAAGATATGCAAGGTTTAGTTTCTAATCCAAAGCTGAGAAGAAATTAATTGTGGTTAACTATTAGGCAATTATTTCCTAATTAATTCTTAGGAAAGACGTGTGATATAGGGGATAGAGAACCAGGCTTTACAGACCAAACATGTGAGTTCAGACAGAGACTCTGCCACCGGTGTATTCCGGGTTGAAGTCTTCCTCTTCTCCTGCACACCCACTTTTTCTCCCATGGCCCCTCTTTCAGTTAAGGGCCCCAACTGTGACTTCCTCCTCTCTCTTCTGAATTCAGACCTTGCCAGGTGGAGTTAGAGTGCCACATGAGGACCCTCATCATGCACTGTTATTTCCCCTGGGCTTTTGTAGTAACTTGCATTCCAGATCCTGTCTATCCAAACCATCCGATATTCTGGTGCTGGATTAATTCTTAAAGCACCATTCCTTATGGTTCTATTTCTCCCCTGCTTGGCAACTTCCATGGGTCCTTATTTTTTACCAAAGTCAAGTCAGTCTTTCTTTGCAGAGTGCTCTAGACTTTTCGAGATAGGATCTCAGCCTGTCTCCCGTCTGTATTACGTACCTATCTATGTACTTTATTATGTTTGCAGCCAAACGAAGCCAGCTTAATCTCCCGCTCTCCCCATTGTTCATGCTGCTTTTTCTCTTTCCCAGCCTTCCCAACCTCCATCACCCAATTACAAATTTGTCTTTTCTGAAGATTTTGCTCTTGTCTTTGATTTTCCGTAGCTCTAATCCCCTTTAAGACACTGCACACATTCTAGTTGGTCTTATGTAATAACAACTGTTACTATAGTTATGTGGGCAGATTTCTTATCTCTACTCCTTGTACCTAAGTCTTAGAAGGCTGGGCTGGGTCTTTATCACCTTGATATTTTCCGTGATCCTTAAGATATTGCCTTAAACTTAGTAGGCTCTCAAATATGTGATGAATAAATCAATTAAATTAATGAATAAATGTCATTAACTGTGTGACACAAGAAATCTCATGTTGGGCTCAAATTTCCTAATTTGCAAAATAATAAGATTGCAGGAGAATCTCCACCTTTTTATGTTTCCTCCTAGCTTATAAAATTAATGATTCGAAATCATTCCATGTCATCTATAAAGAGAAATTGCAGTATATTTGAAATAAGTACAAAAAACTCTTTGAATATAATTACAGTTTCAGTTTCCCCAGCTTCACATTTCTATTATTTTTAATTCCCTGCTAATGTTAGTATATTTAGCACAAACACTATTGTTGTTTAAAAAGTAATTAATCAAAAAACCTTTTCTCAAATAAAGGAATGCATAACAGGGTTTTCAGTGGCTGATAGAATCTGTTTATACCAAAGTTTTCATGCTCTGATAGATTTTTTCAAAGTTGTGGGCTGTTGCTATTTGGTAAGAAGCATGGAGTTTTTATATTTGTTTTTATTGTAATTTTAGGTAAGATAATTGTTGTTAGTCCTCCTTTTTAATCTTTGCTTTTTGCATTCCATATTTTCGCTATTTTATTATTGGCTATGTCCAGTCTCCTGCAGAGAGATGCACTAGTTCGCCCTTGCTGCTGTGGTCCAGGGCTGATGAGGAGGCCTGGCAGAGTTTTCCGTGTTTGTGGTAAGTGTGATGCAATCTGTATCCTTGAGTACACAGAGGATGTGCTGAGATCCGGAGAATAACTGAATCTGTGAAATGGCAAGACACTTCCTAATGGCGTTTTACTGTATTTTGGAAGACTGTTATGACAGAGGATGTCACTTTGAGTCATCGTTCAGTTAAGCAGATAGATTCATGCATTCGAATCCTTGACTTAGCGTGAAAGTTATATTTCACTTGGCATTTCACTGACTATTTGAATTTAAAAGTTTTATTACCTAAGATACAAGCAAAATAATTCCAGTGCTTCTCTTGCTTCATCCTTGAGAGAGACAATAAGAATTTCTGTAACGTGTTTGCAGCAAGACTGGTGTTTCGAGGTCATTTTATCACATCACTTGATGTTTACGTATCTGTGATCTCCACGTGCAGGAAATTTCTGTGTCTTATCATGAAAGGATCGTCATGGACAATTCCTTCCCTTTGGAGGCTGGAATAATTCACCATTCAGCTTATAATTTCTTCTTTGCTTCGCTTTGCATTACAAGAATGATTCTTTTGTAATTATAATTTTAATGCTATTTTGCCATTCTTGCAATTTCTGAACACTCTTAAGCAGTGTTAAGATAGTTTTTAATATATAGGAGAGAGAATAAATATTTAACCACTGCTTAAACCTTAGTTCTGAGAACATTATGTTTATCCTGTATCAATTATTTAAAAAATTATTTATATAGTCAAGATCTTTTCGACCCCCAAGCTCATTGACTCCATCTAATATATTGAATAACACGAGGAACTTTGACTTTGCTGATGTTTGTCACTTTTCAAAATAGTCAGGCGAGCTCTCCTCGCTGGTGTCAAGACTCTACTCAATAGTGTGTGTTATGCAAATAATTTCATTTTCCCCACAGTCTTCAGATCCACATGGTTTGGTCTCCCTTTCAAGGCCCTAAATGAGATCCCTGGCAAATTTCCTAGTTTTTAAAATCACTTGGAAATACAGAATAGTCTCTTTTTTAAGTATGAAGTAGTCCTGTCTAATCCAAACAAAAGATTTCATTCTATATACAGTTTGCAACTTTTCCTCTTATGTTCACCTGGGAACCCAACCCCAGCTCAGGCATAACCCAGGTTCCATAGCCTGCGGTAGCGGGGGCTGGGGCCAAGGCACGGCCTATTTCATCACTGATTTTGTTCTACTTCTTCCCCTACTTGTTAGCTGTTGCTTCTGGCTCCTGCAGAACCCTGTAGGAAGGAGGAAGTAGAAGGAGAAGACAAGGTCTTACTTGATTGTTGCCATTGGAATCTGGCATTGAGGCCACCACTACAGCAGATGTTCAAATGCTGGTTCTTCTTCTCAAAGGATGCTTTGGTGGACTTTGTAGAATCCTTCTCACCACCCTTCCCCCACCCTATCCAGAGACGTCTAGCCCTATGCTTTTCTCTGAGGTGGAGGCCTACTATCTGGTTGGCCTGAGGTGGCATCCATCCCCTCAGTTCTTGCTCTTATGAGCGTTCCCTGTGCATCCTTGGCCTGGTGGGCACTCTTACTGAGCTTGGCAATGTTCAGATGTCTCAAGACTAGATACCTCCTTCTGGCCCCAAAGAGAACTCAGCCTCTTTGCCCTTGCCTGCTACCTTGGACATGCGGCATGTGCCTCTACGGCTCTCCCTTTGAGATTTGCCATCACAAATGGTTATTGCTGGCCTGCTTGTTCAGGTGAGTCTACACTCTAGGCAACACAGGTGAAAGTCCCAAGGGAACTCTCCTCTATATTCAGCTTCAGTACTGACATTAAATGAATCTATGAGTTTCTATAGCTGAATAAGCATGGGAGCTGGGGGCAGAGAGGGTGGAGAGAGAGGGTTTAAGATGTCATTGTCTCCTCTTCAACCCATAGCAGCTCAGGTTCAACTATGCTAGAATATAAAACTGTGTGTTTAGGTACTTGCACCTGTTTACAATGAATGTCTTGGTTTAAGGAAAGAACAGGTTTTCTTTCTATTTAACGTTTTGAAATAAACACTAAGTATCCATACACATGCACGTGGAATCATCATGAATGCTGTGGTAGTAAATGCAGACTGATGTCCAGGGTGCTATATTGGTGACTACAGTACCACTGATGTTGTCGGTAACATGATTTTATGTTTTAATACATTTCCAAACAAAACAAAGTGTACTGATCCTCGATTTATGCAATAGTTGTATTCCTAGAAAATTTGATGCATTTTAACACCATGCCAGACTTTCACTTCCAGCTATACTGACTAAATTGTGGCAGTTGAAACCTCCTACCAAAAGGCAGATGAGGAGGAAAAAAACTGGGAGCATCTCAGAGTCACCCAGGCAACCAGGATTCAAGGAGCCAAGATCCTGGAGAGGAGGGAACTCACTCTGCACCACTTGCTCCCTCGAGACATTGGCTGATTCATAAGCAGTAAATAGCGAGAGGCTAACAGCTGAGCAGAAACTGGCTGCCAACGTGCTGAGAAACTGAGCTGGGCTTTTGGTAGTCTCGTGATGCTTGGGGGACAAAAATTAGAGTTCAGGGCCTCCCGAGGAGGAGGGGCTCAGGCTCGCAGTTGGGACACTGAAGGGCTATTGTCTAGAAATCACAGAAATACACCAGATCTTGCAAAGACTGAAACCCAGCTTTGGATGAACTCAATACCTCATTTAAATCCCAGCCAAATACTAAAATCAGTTCTCCTTGGAGAAAAATACCAACGTTCAGAGTCTCTACACATTTTCAACCTAATGTCCAACATTCAATAAAAAGTTATCAGGCATACTGACAAATGGGACCAGAAGAAAAATAGACAATGGGAGCAGACCCACAAGTGATACAGATATTAGATGCAGCTTTTAAAATAATGTGATCAAGTAGTAGTCCATCGTGTATAAATGCCACATCTTCTTTATCCATTTGTCCCTTGATGGGCTCCTAGGTTGCTTCCATGTCTTGGCTATTGTGTATAATACTGCAGTGAACATAGGGGTGCAAGTATCTTTATGCCTTTGTGTTTTCAAGTTGTTTGGATAAATACCCAGCAGTGGGATAGCTGGATCATATGGTAGATCTATCCTTAATTTTCTGAGGATACTCCATACTGCCTTCCATAGTGGCTGCACCAGTTTACACTCCCTCAGCCGTAAGAAATGATGAAATCCGGCCATTTGTGACAACATGGATGGACCTTGATGGTATTACGCTGAGTGAAATAAGTCAGAGGGAGAAAGTCAAATACCATATGATCTCACTCATAAGTAGAAGATAAAAACAATGACCAAAAAACACACAGCATTGGAGATTGGACTGATGGTTACTATAGGGAAGGGGGAAGGGACGAGGGCAAAAGGGGTGACTAGGCTCACATGTGAGGGGATGCACTATAATTAGTTTTCGGGTGGTGAACATGATGTCATCTACACAGAATTCAAAATATGATGTACATCCGAAAATTAAAAAGAAAAGAAAAATAATGTGATCAAGAAAAGAAAAGATGTAGAATTTTATCAGAGAACCATGCCCAGTACACACATATACAAACACACACATATACACACTCGTGTTTGTGTGTATTATTAGTGTTATATAAAACCGAGTTAGGTTCTAGGCTCAGACAAACCTAAAAATAAACAAACAGGTTTTGCCCCCACCTGAATGTCTGGTGGGACATTTGAAAACCTGGTGGGACATGGAAATACTGTTGATGGTGTGGAGCTGTTCTGGGTATCTAGTGCCCCTGCTCGTCCAGATGCCAATAGCACCTTACAATCAGCGTGTCACCTGGAAGACGCCCACAGGTTTCCCTGACGTCTTTTGGGGGCAATATTGCCCCTGTAGAGAACTGTGGCTCAGCTGCTCAGTCGATCCCCACTTCATGGGAAAGCGTGCAGCCCAGAGAGCTGTGATAGTGCCACAATTCTGTGAAGACCATACAGCTGGTTGTTTGCAGAGATGACGTTGGAGCCCTGACCCCTAACTCTTAATGCAGTGCTCTTCTGCAACTCCTCTATTCCACTTAAGTTTTAAAGTTCTTGGGAGAACTGACTTAGATTTCTGGGTCAATCAGCAATTTGAGGATTTTTTTAATGTATACCTGCCCAGAGGAATGATACAGGATATCTAAAAACCATGAGCTGAAAACCATCAGTTGTTTTTAAAACTCCCTTTATTATAGTAATGCAAATTCCCTTCCAAAATTCTGAAGTAGGTTGAGACTTTTTGCTGAGAGTTTAAAGGTCTCAAAACACCTCACCCTGCATCAGCTTAGGGGAATCAAAGGAATACTTCAAAGATCTCAAGTTTGAAAGATATCAGAAAGTCCTACTTGTAGAATAGTTCAAAGCAATCACAGGTGAATCCTGGGGGATTTGTGTGGAAAGTTAGTATCCAAATATATTTTTCCTCTGAAATTCACCTAGGCTTCTAAATTCAGTTGTATTAGCATTTTTATAAATTCTCTCTCAACTCCACAGTTCTTCAGCATCACCTGAAATCATAGCCTCTCCTCCAACTTTAATGTTGAGACAGCTGTCATGTCTCACAGACTTCTGAGGGACCTGCTTCCCATCTATTTGCCCTCTGCTTCTCTCACATGTGGAAAATAGAGCTTGTCTAAAAGATTTGATTTTTATCCCCCTCTGTTTTTATAGGCAACTTCAGATTTGCATTTTTATCACTCCTCTCTCAAAACGTGTTGGCATTGCTGTTGAGTTTTAATGGCTATTTATTGGTCGTTCTCAAAATTAGTGCATCATTATTTATTGTTCTGGTTAGGTTTGCATGCAAGCTCCATCCTATTGCCTATTATTTTCTTCCTGGCCTAGTAGATTTCTGGTATCTACCAGTGAGACAGATGTATGTGCGTATGTGCAAGAGCCCAGTAATGAGCACCCTTACCTACAGAAAGTAATTACAAAGCCATTAATTCTGTTCATAAATGCACACAAAGTCAAACAATTCCACATCTATCACAGCCTCGGTGAATCCCCTCGGTGAGTCCTTGCACCCTACAGAGGGGTCAGTTTTCGTTTGCTTCCATTCTGGCCATGCCGGGAAGGCTTGGGAAAGTGGGAACACCGCTTATCACCCTTCAGCCCCTTGCCATTTAGCAATGGCCTCAGCAGTATTTTATCTCTAAGACTTAGTTTGTCTTGCTTCCTTCAGCCAACAAACAGGCTTGAGCACTTGCTTAACTGCGAGGCCCCTCTGCTGGTCTATATGACCATTAGGTTTGTATTCAAGTATTTCAGTCCTTGGCTTCTTATAGGCTTTTTGGAAGTCTGTGCAAATGTTATTTCAGTTTCAGTTCTTTGCCTGAGTCCATTTATGCAGCAGCACCATCTGAGTGAACCACAGGTGGCTTGCTGAAACTGTGAAGGTGGATTTTAGGAGTATCAGAAAGGCCTCTGCCTTCCCTCCCGCCCCACTTTCATTTTTCCCCCCACTCCCAAGCGCTTCTCTGACCAGCTCGTGAGTGTGATTATTCTGCTACGTTGAAATCATTTATTCGACTCGTGTTTTTTTTTTCAGTCAAAATTTAAGCCTATTATTTGATTGCATGTTAGTATGAGTTGGTCAGTACTTTCAGGAGAGCAAGTTTTGATGATGAGAAGGTGAAGGAAGCTTGAAAATTCTGGTTTCTTTGAGCAAGGAAGCCTCTTGCTTAGAGAAGGAAGCACTCTTGTGGGAGGAAGCCGGGGGACCCAAACTCTCTGGAATAGACCAGCTGATCACAACTAACCTGCTGCTGGTTCAGAGGACTGTTACTGGAGCTGTGGTCCTCACTTTGTGTTGGGAGTTATCTCAGAGAGGAGAGAAATACGTGGTGTCACTCCTCATGGGGTTTGCTGCTGACACTTCCAGTGTGCACTAACTAGTTCAGGCTCACGGGAATGGCTTAGAATATCAGATTCAACAAGCTTTTATTCTTTTCATAATCCAGGGTGAAGGCTGGGCATGGTCTGTGGAAAGAGAGGATTAATGCATTTTTCGCTCGCTTAACTATACCCTTATATTTTTCATTAATTATACTTCTCTATAGGATAGTGTTGAAAGTACAGACACGAGGTCAGGCAGCCTGGTTTCAAATCCTGATTGTGCTGCTTGCTCACAGTATGACCTTGAATAAGCTAGCCTCATTGTATTTATGTTTCCTCTAAATTGGGAAATAATAACAGAATTGACCTCATAGGGTGATTGTGAGGATTAAAGAGGAAAATATATGGACAGCATTTAGCACAGTTTGTGGAATGATGATAGGTAATTATATTCAACTTTAATTTAACCAGTTCCTTTATGATTTCCTTTAACTTCAAAATAGCATTGTTTAATATCCCCTTAGGTATTTTTCCAAACATTTTCAATAGATGTTTACTACAATGTTTTCTTTACCCTTTCACAATCCAATGTGTGCTGGCTGTTTTCTGAATTTGTTGGTTCCAGTGAATTATTTGCCTTTTCAGAGGATTTGCTATCAGCAGCATCTTAATTTGACAACATTGTACAGATGTTTTGTGTTTCAGCTGTTTTGTTTTATCACCTGTTAATACTATGCTCTTTTATTTAAAAGAGATGAAAACTGTGACAAAAGTACAGGCTGAGTTTACAATTGTCCAGCAAATCCTTTCTCTCAACTTCCAAACACCAAGTGTTCCAAACACTCTCATGAGTGCACTCATCTTTTATTTCTCTTTCTCTTTCTCTTTTTGGTGTGAGGAAGATTGGCCCTGAGCTAACATCTGTTGCCAATCTTCTCCTTTTTGCTTGAGGAGGATTGTTGCTGAGCTAACGTCTGTGCCAATCTTCCTCCATTTTGTATATGGGATGCTGCCACAGCATGGCTTGATGAGCGATATGCAGGCCTGCACCTGGGATCCAAACCTGCGAACCCTGGGCCACCGAAGTGGTGGGCACGAACTTAACCACTATGCCACTGGGCCAGCCCCACATCTTCTTTTATTTTCATTAAAGGAGCTTTACAAAAGACATCCTCCAAATGACTCTTTCTTGGAGGAGAGTTATTACTTTCTTTAAAGTTAATCAATACTTGCTATTCTTCCAAAGAGGTCTAAAATTACTTACTTAGACCTGACCTCTGAACCCTCATGTCGGGTCCCTATTTCTGAAATAAAGCTAATATTAAATGTGCTTGTAGTAGATACAACTTGGTCTGGTTGCCTTGGTTATGATAACTTCCCAGATGGTCGTGACTATGCTGCTCTGCTTGTTCACATGATGGACTCCACTCCTGGCTACAAATGAACTGTCTAGGCCAATCATAGTGCTTCCTCCTGGCCCATCAGTGATTTTAGTTTCCAAAAGGGGGTAATAATATCCAAACCAGATCAATCCTGCCTGAGAATTTTGTGAACATGAGAAAGAACTCATTTTTGTTTTTATATTTCTCTTATCAATAGTAGTGAGATGTTAGCTTGGAGCTGCCTCCAGTCTAATACAATGTCAATGTCTTTAAACTTCAACCTCAAAGTTGATAAAAGAGTCTTGATATCTTACATTTAAACCTTACCAGCAATTTAAGACTAAGAATCCTATGACAGAATCCAGCTAGTCTAGAGCACAGATAATTTACAACTCTTGTGAGACCCTTTTACTATTAACTATGTAAACTTAATATGGCGGTAATGTCACAAGATATGGAGAGCTTAAATGCAGCATGTGTCCTTGCTGGGGAGTCAAATGCAGTACCTCAGACCTAGGTTCAAATTCTGATGGCAATTTCTTGCCAAGGTGACCTTGAGCCTGTAAGGGAGACGAAATTTTCTTCTACACTTGTAGATTCTTCTGGCTGGTCTAAGAATTAAATTGACGTGAAACATAATGACAGGAGAAAATCAAACAAAGTTTAATAGCATGTATACA